ACTGCTCAGGGTCACGGGGCTGTTGCTCACCCAGGAAAACCTGTGCTCATCCGTGTGAGGCAATCGCTGAAGTCACTTTTGGAGAAGCAGAACATGAATTATTCATATGTGTGTGACACTGGTGCTTATTCTTTTACTTTCTGCGTCAGAAATGAGCTGGGTTTGCCTTTTAAGGATTATAAAGAGCATCCACGGATGTGAATTGCTTATTAAACCAGAGCTGCATCAGCATGGGATGCAGTTTATGATTTTTAGATCCAAATGGGAAAGCACAAGTCTTATGTCTGGTGACCCAGGAGTGATCACAGTTGCAAAAACTCAGTCTGAAAGCAGAACGATCACAAGTGCAGAAAACTTAAAGCTTCTAGGAAATGTGGACATATTTCTGAGGTCACACTTTCCACGTTGTCCTCACAATAAGGGCTCCATCCCTCCTGAGGTCCTGTAAGATGGACCCAGTGGCACATTTAGAATCTCCTGGCAGTTTTAATGCCTGAAGTGCTGTGACTGTGATAACCTGCTTTGGAAGCACAGAATGGAACAGGATCCTGTGCCTGTTCAAGAGCTGAACTTGCAGGAAGGCCATGGCTGCTGTGCTGAGCTCCTGCTGGGAGCTGGCACCGATCCCTGCCCGGAGAACACACCAGTGCTCCCAGCTCTGTGCTCATGGAATCACCTACAAACCCACCAGTTCTGGTCCAGCTCGTCTGTCAGAATCATGAGGGGAATTGTTTCCAGTCACCAGCCATCCCAGCCAATTGTCTGCTTCCAAAGGATCCTCACACAATGGATGCCCCCAAATTATGTGCCTTTGACTCCCCCCCGCTGTGCCCTCCCTTGCTCTCTGGGAACTCCCCTCTCCCTGGTCCCTGTCCCCCGGGCAGCTCCACGTGCAGCAGTTTTCCATGATGGAGTGGGATTTACTGGCCCTTCTCAGGCTGTAGGAGAACCAGCACACAAAATCCATTGTCCCCACCTCCAGCCCAGCTGTGCCAGGGCTCTGACGAGGGCAGAGCTGTCTCTGGCTGGCACTGCCACCCCCAGCCCCTGCCCCTCCCCTCTCTGATGCTGCAGCATCTGCAGTCTTTAGACTGAAGAGTTAAGTGACTCCACAGCCACTCGATCCGTTATTAAATGGGAACAGGTCTCAATGGATCAAACAACTGGCTGGACAAACAAGGAACCCCCTCATCACTCACACAAGCTTCCTCTGTCACAGGGGGAAGACCAGCTGGAGTATTTCTCGTGACAGCGGCTTTGCTGCTGCTCCTGCAGCCCCCGGAGCTCGTTACCACAGGAATATTTACAAACAGGGTTTCCATTCTGGGATTGCCTCACCCAGAGCGGTGACTTAACAGCCACAGGGGGCAAAGGGCAACACACCCTCAGATGGGGGGAGGGAACTTTGTCACAGCTTTACAGTGACTCAGGACAGAGCGTGACACAAGATGTCAAAGATTATCCATGTTTCCAGTTCTGACTCCTGCTCTCTCCACTCCCCACCCTGGGCTGCCTCTGCACTTTTCCCTGAACCAGCTGCTGTTCCTGACACAAGTTACACCTGCAGGGCCCTCCCTGGAGAGAGGCAGGGATCTCCTCTTAGTCAGAATTCAGAGGAAGCAAACACAGAACCCCAGAGTTCCTGGACAGCCAGGATGTGGGGCAAGGATGTCTGATCACACCCAGGGAGCAGCACAGGCACTGCTCCCCCCGACCACGTCTCAGCTGGCAGGTTGCACAGGGCACTGTACAAGTGACTGCCCAGATGGGCTGGAGGAGCCTTGGATATGAAACTTTATTCTGGTCTTTAAAAAGTCAAGGATTTTCCAAATCCTATAAAAAGCATCTGAAATTGGAAAAAGAGACCTTGTTTGAAACTCACCCATGTGGATGTAAACCAAACACTCCTCCTGGTGGAATGCCCACCTTTGGGAGACACTGGGGTTAACAGCAGGTGTAGCTACTTGGGCCCCTCATTAATTCCTTCTTCTACCACCAGATTATTTTCCCAGAGTCAGCTGGAAAATGACCCTGGTGGCACCAGAGTTTATGGAGAACTTTGGGGAAAACAGAGCAGAAATATTACATGTCCCTTCCCTCCTCCCTCCCTGCTCCCCTCGTGTACTTGCAGCAATCCCCAACGTCCCCACATTTCCCCAGAGATCCAGTGAATTCCCAGCAGTGTCAGCCTCCATCTTCCTCTCCATGGGCCGGGAGCCCTCAGGGGGTGGGAGCACAGGCAGACACGACTCGGGCCATGAAGAGCACTCGGTAACACTCTGTGATGTCCCCCTTCAGGGTCAGGAGGGCTGTCACCAGGGGAGGGTCACTGACCTACAAGAAACCACATAAACCCCCCCTGGTTTCTGTCCCAGAGCAGGGCAGTGGGTCAGGCTCTGTGGTGCCAGCTCTGGGCACAGGTTTCCTCCCTCCCCCTGGGCTGGCTCTGCTGTTCCCAGCACGGAACAGGCAGGGGGGTCTGGCAGTGACTGTCCCCAGAGTGCCCCTGACTGTGACACTGTCACAGCAAGAGCACTGGGCAGGAAACGGGTCCTGTCAGCCCCCAGTGAGTGCTGCAGCTTGTGTAAGAGCCAGGGCTTACCAAGAGGCACAGTGTCAACCTGTCACCCCTGCCAGGAACCCCAGAGCCCCTCTGTGCATGTGACACCAGCAATCGCCTAATTTTGGAACAAGCCACTCATCCTGCCATCCCACACACCCCACTCAGCTCTTCCAGGCCCCGTGAACGCCCCAGGAGGTGAATCAGAAGGGGCAGTCACGGCCCTGTGGAGATGTTGGGACCTCAGACCCAGCCCCTGGAATACAAAAAGTCAGGAATAGCCAGGGAATTGGGGCTGCTGAAGTGGGAAATCAAAAGGTCCCACTGACTTCCAGGAATGTGCCAAAGGAAAGGCAGCCCAGAGAAATGTGAGCAGTGTTGCAGAGTGATCCATGGGAACCCAGCTGTGCCAGTGGGGTGCAGCAGTTCCCTCTCGGGGTCACTCAGGGACTCAGAGCTGTCCCAATACAGCAGCAGCACTTTGGCTCTCGGTGCTCTGTGACAGTGGCCTGGAAGGAGTTATCCCCCTAAGGGTGGCCCTGTGTCCCCCCAGGGTGTCCCTGTGTGTGTCCCCCAGGATATCCCTGTGTCCCCCCAGGATATCCCTGTGTGTCCCCAGGATGTCCCTGTGTGTCCCCAGGATATCCCTGTGTGTGTCCCCCAGGATATCCCTGTGTGTCTCCCAGGATGTCCCTGTGTGTGTCCCCCAGGATATCCCTGTGTGTCCCCCAGGATATCCCTGTGGGTCCCTCAGGATATCCCTGTGTGTGTGTCCCAGCATGTCCCTGTGTGTGTCCCCCAGGATGTCCCTGTGTGTCCCGCAGGATATCCCTGTGTGTGTCCCCCAGGATGTCCCTGTGTGTCCCCCAGGATATCCCTGTGTGTGTCCCCCAGG